CATATGATTTAACTATTAGTTAGCTTACTAACAGGTTGGAACAACCGGCCCTATGACGAGCCCCATCCAATCCTTGATTTTGACCAACCATTTCAAGACCACTCTGATATTTACTGATTGTTTTTTTTTCCTTGTGATTGCCTATGTCACAGATTGTGCATCATGTCATAAAATATCTTGTTTTTCTTCTTTTTTCTCTTTGAATAGGCTTGAGCCTGTTTTTACTATTTTTTCTTTTTATGGCGTCTCTTGTTGATGTCCAGCTGTCCTTCTAGCCACTTTTGATGGTTTGTCTGAGGGTCTTTTGGATAATATGGCTTTCTGTTTCTTGCCATCTTTACAATTCTGATATTTTATCCATTCTTTTCATCTATTTTTGATACATGTTCCAGGCTCGTTTTTTTACCTTATCCACCTGACAACGTCCTGGATGTCGCTTTTGTTATTTCTGTGTTTGGAATTCTGTCTCTGAAGATGTATCCCGTGGATAATGCTTCTAAAGCGGGGAACACAGATTTTTGCATAACGCATAACACGTAAGCATAAGAAAACTGATTGGTCTATTTCTTTATGCCACATGTATATGGACCAATCAATTTTCTTATGCTTACACATTATGCGTTGTGCAGAAGTGTGTGCTCCCCGCTTAAGTATATACTTTTCACTTCTGCAGTACGGACTATATGCAACTTAATCCGTACTGCAGATTAGGCTCTTAGTTTTGCAGATATCTCTGGTTTTCGCTGTGTAGGTCATTATTGGTCGGACACAGGTTTTACTATCCTGATCTTGGCCTTTTGGTTTCATACAAGTGGTTGTTTTGACGTATGTATAAGATCTTTCAGGCACATTCTTATCGCTTTGTTGGTCTGGTTTTGATTTTCCTGTCCTGATTGGCAGATATTTCTATTCTCAGTATATATATCACCCGTTGGATATTTCTATTCCCAAGCAAGATATCACCCATTACATTGTTCTGGTTAGATATTTGTTGTTTTCTCCGATTGTTATCGTATCGCTCAATCGACGTGCGGTCTTTTTTTTCGAATAACTCTTGTCGAGCGTGACATCTCGCGAAGCGTAATCTCACGTAGTTAGTAGCTATAACGACAAGTATATGTATATGTATATGTATATGTGAAGAACCTGTTGTCCCCGAGTTTATTAGGGTTACAACCTAATCAGCAACCATAAGTGGTTATCTTTTCTCCCCCTTTCTTTCATCTAGTTGGATTCGTCATGTTCTCATTCTGTACATTTTCTCTAGGCAATTATTCACAAAATATAATAAACTTCTGTCTTTAATTGTTCTCTGTTCTCACTTCCTCTCTTTTTTTGTAACGATGAGCGGAGATGTGACATATTGTTAAAATGCTACAATTTGTCTACTTTCGCTGTACAAATGTATTGTCATAAAACTTGAACTCATACAATCTCACAGGAAACCAACGCCCGTCCGCCATCAATTCACCACAACTTTAGCTATTTACCACATTTTCGCACGCAATGTTACATTCTACGATTACGCTCTCAGCCACATTCGATGATGAGAATATTGAACGTTATTGTACATATATCTATACTTAAAATTTTTTGTCATTTAATTAAGCCGATTAGACTTTATTTTATGGCAGACTATTTTTTGCCACAAAATTAAAAAAATTTTTACAGTATTTGTAGAAAATGTGCAGTGAATCGTTCGCATATTTCTTAATAAATAGTACATTTAATAATTTCTTGGGACGATTACGATAACTTTGGTCCCTTGATTTGACGATGGTTTTTATTGGTAGTATTTTTTTACGCTAAACAAAAAATTATATATGTCTTATAAGACTAACTGCTCTAATTTTCGAGATATACAGTGTTAAAATTAAAAATAAAGGAACAATTGCGATAACTTTGGCCTCTAAAATGTGTGGTTTTTGGAAGAATTTTTGGCGAGGAACACGGAAAAATAGTAAAAAATTTCATGATTAATATTTGACTCTACTTCCAAATTTTAATTTCAAGTTTTTAGAAATATAGGTTTTGAGTTAGATTGGTTTTTTATGCGGGGAAGGGGTTCTCCTGCAAGTGGATTACGATTTACTTTTAAACAACGTAAGACATTAAGTCCACCCCACCCTGGCTTGCTTATAGGGGAAAGCAAGGTCTATTATTGTACGGTTCGAGATTTCAACTTTCCATGCGAACCGAGGTCTACCCTCACTCACCCCCGCCTACATGTGTACGGTCTATACGGTCTATACACACAATCGAAGTATTATTTAAAAATTTACATGATTTATTTTTAACTTTAACACACTGTATATCTCGAAAACTAGAGCGGTTAGCTTTATAAGACCTATCTAATTTTTTGTTCAGCGTAAAAAATACTATTAAAAACCATTGTCAAATCAAGGGGCCAAAGTAATCGTGCCAATTTCTTGTTAATATCAATCATGAAAGATATGTAGAGTCACACAATAGTTATTTGTGTAACAATAAGTGCGGGAAGTTGAAAATTGGACACGCGTGCGGGTGATCGCACTCACCTTGAGAGACTGTGCGGGAATGAGATATTACCGCACTGTTTCGAGTGGTGTGTGGAATTGGCTATTTGTCGCACAAAAAACACGCGCATAATGGGCCACTTTCCACGCACGTGTGATATAAAAATTTTAAGTTTACCCTTACTTTACATTTTAATATCGATTGACGTAACAATTGGAATTAATTTGTAAATATTAAAAGAGTGAAGTATGCAAGAGAGTTGTCCTTAATATACACTGTGAGCGTGCATCTGCACGTGCAATAACGAGACAAGCCACTTACAATTAGCCAATTGCAGACTCTCGTGCGACTAAGTAATAAGAGAAGGACTTGCGACAGGCGCGGTATTAAATTTAGCAAGCTTCTAGAAATTTTGCTGAATTACTGCTCGCTAGAATGTCCTTCTGGTATTGTCTTAAAACGATATATTATATAACATATTGTCTAAATTGATCTTTAAACTGACATCTTGACGTTAAATTGCAATGAAAAGGATACATTGTTGCCTCAAAAATTACGACATGGAATGAGTACGTTAACGAAAATTCCGGTCGAAGCGATCAGATCTTGAGATGTTAGTTAGTCGAGTCGATAACACGTTAGTGTTTCAATGTCCTCTTTATAATTAGCCACGGGCAATGGTGCCCCGATAAGAAAGTCGTTAAAATTGCTTAGAATTGCTAATCTTCGATACTTAAAATTGCTTAGAAGAATGCTAATCTTTCGATATTTGCAGTTAATGAAGCTAGGCTTATTCACGATGTAAAGATAGCTTCAAAGAAGATATGGATGGATGCCGTATCGAAAAATGTTTTAAGGAACGTTAGTTGATGTTAATAATTCACTTAGTTAATTTCTTTTATGATTCCTTATCGAACGATTACGAAGACTGCTACTGTGAGAAGAAGATTATACTGTTTTCCGCCATGTTTTGTCATTTTAGCATACGTGACACATATTTTTTGCGGACGCATCTTCGATTTCTACGAATTTTTTAAAATTCTATAGGTTTTTCGAATTGCTTGTTATGCCATCTAAGACTTTTCGCTTTCCTCCTCTCGAACTCGATACGCACAGTTTATATATTGCTAATTAGCTTACCGCATTTGAGAACAAACGTAACGTCAGCGTGTAACGTCGGCGCCACTTTTTTTTATCCGAGTTGACGAACCGCGATAAGAGCGAGAATTTAACCTGGCGCGGCGAGGGTGTGCCGACGCGAGTGTAACACCTTTATTCACGTACATATTTATGGAGCGTCTCGCTTATCTGGCACTCCTGTTTATCCTCGCGTCTCCGCCTACTACGTGGAAACAGAGCGCCGCGGCCGTAAAACTTTTCATTTGAACTTTCGGCGATCAGATTGCGTCGGGTATAATTCGACTATTTTAAATACGGTAAATTTAAACGACGATTAAAATACATGAATTTTCCGTGTTGCATTTTGTGTGGCGGTACTTGTGTTTGTCGATAAATAAGCACGCGTACGTGCTGAATTCGATAGCGATTCCTCAAATGTCGTTCCTGTGAGAAAATCTTCGATGGGAGAAAAACAAGAGTGTGTTTGCAAATCAAATATTGGCGGTTTCCTCGTCGACAAGGAAAGTCATTTATCACGGTTTTCCGCGTTCTTTTCTTTTGATTCTTTTCTTTCTGAGTTTTGTCTCACTCTCGTAGTCGCTGCTTTAAATTTGAATAAAAGAAGTTTGTGAATGATCTATTCGGAAATTTACTTTACAATATATAGATTTTAGTCTGCTCCGTTTTTCACGTGTAGTTTTACACTCCGTGTAGTTTCTTTTAAATATATACAGCAGGATTTTCTGCTATTTGTATTGATTCGTTTACCTAGCAGAGATCTAGAGACTGTTTCTTTTATACATTTTATTAAGATCTTACAAATATGTTAATTAACAGATATTTAAAATATGTGAAACTGATGTTTCATTGTAGTGGCACGGTGACCTCGTTTTTTATTTCGCATATTTTTGTGACATATTTATTGATCGATAATAATGTGCGTGTCGTGCTAACAAGACGTGACTACAATTGCCTTATCTTGTATCAATGTTTGCTCGATATCTCGTCGATTAAGATTCACGATTCACTTCTCCTACAGTTTTAATGTGTCTCTTTTGTGTGTGCTCGCGTTTTTTCTATATTTTTTAGAAATAATTAGCAAAAAAATATTTCATTAAAATATTTCAGTTTGATAAATTGATTTCGCCGTATTAATATTTCCGCTCAGCAGTATTACTCAAATTGCAACTTTGTAAATTTATTTGGACGAGACGTACGTTAAAATTATAATTTTCAGGAAGTTAAATAAAAATCGCAACTTTATGAGCAACATAAAAATAGCTCAGTCGCAAAAGGTATGGTTGTCATGCACCATACCTTTCTTATTTTCTGTTATACTTGATATAAGCTGCAATTTAGAAGAAATATTGTCTTTCTTGTCGCAGGATAAGGATTAAATTGCTTTGAAAATGGGGGCGATGTTCAGGAGCGAGGAGATGGCCCTTTGCCAGCTGTTCATTCAGCCGGAGACGGCTTACCTTTCTGTTTCCGAACTTGGAGAAACCGGTACGGTGCAATTTCGTGATGTAAGTGGAATTAAGTGTAATCTTCTCTATCGATGACTTTATTTAATGTAATTAGTCTGACTAGTCTGTAACTATACTTATGATGATTTGAATATGTCAGCTGATGCGTTTAAAGTTATTTTAAAATTATGTTTTTTTCTTTTGGGATGAGAAATTCATTGTCTGTTATCTTATTTATTATATTTTATAATAATTATTATGGAGAAAGGGAGAAGAGAGAAAGCGTTTCTTTTTTAAATAATATTAAATTTCTATATCAGTTAGCATAGGTAATTGCAGAAATGCTGCAACTGATCTGTTAACTGCAGAAATATTTAATTTTAAGAATATAAGAATTCTATCAAACTATGAAATACGTAATTATATACTTGTAACAATATTTGTTCGAGACTTAAGTGTTATGTTTACTTAAAGACCTAAAAATAATTTATTTAAAAAATTTACAAATTTTATTTGAAAGTATTATAAATATCTTAATTTTACTACCTAAGATTTATATACTTTGTAGTATGTAAATTGTATATAATAAAATGAAAACATTCTAATACTATTATATAAAGTACATATAAATTTTGCGTGAGATATAAAACCATTTAATGCATTTTGAAGTTGTATCCTGTGAACAGTCAGATGATTCAATTTTAATGGACTGCACATAAGATTCAATTTTAATGAGCACATTAATGTTCCTGACTACATCGGAAACTAATCATATTAAATTTTGATATTAATGTCTAGCTGAACGGCGACTTGAATTATTTTCAACGGAAATTCGTCAACGAGGTCCGACGATGCGACGAACTGGAGCGCAAGCTTCGGTACATCGAGGCGGAGGTCAAGAAAGACGGTGTACCAATCCCGGATAATCTTACGGAACTACCGCGCGCGCCCAACCCACGTGCAATTATCGATCTTGAGGTAAAAAAATTTTCTCCGAAATTCGTCGAAAGCTTGTTTCGACGTAGGTACACCGCGTAAAATAAATCTGAATAAAATAACGTCAGGCCCGAATCCTCGTGTTTTTGACGATTTAACGATTATACGTTCGTAAAATGTGATGTATTAAAAAAAAATGTTTTACATTTTCTATGATGGAAAAAAAATATTTTTAGACAGCTACGTTACTATAAAATAGAAAGATAAAAGTTTTTTTTAGCACATAACAAGCATAAATGCGCCGCATTATATGCGAAATGAGTCAGCGTCAGTGAGTGTTTACGTTAAAGTCGGATTTTATGATAACGTTGAAAAATAACAAATGAGAATCGATATTCCAAAAACTCGTGCTTAATATTATTATTAATTGTGATTACATAAAAAAATAGCAGAATATTTTGTTATTTACAATATTGATATTCTCTTATTGCGTGTTTATTGTATGTTCGATATATCAATCGCATTCTCTCTCGCAACAGGCGCATCTCGAGAAAACAGAGAACGACATACAAGAGCTGAGCCAGAACGCGGTGAACCTGAAGAGCAACTATCTCGAGCTGACGGAATTACAACATGTGCTCGAGAAGACGCAAGCGTTCTTCACGGAGGTACCTAAAGTAGTTCAGCAGCTTTTGTTCGTAGCGCCGTCCTCCTTCGTGTAATTGATGTTACCGTTTTGTCGAAGAATCAAGATTCGTTTCTTCTTCTTCTATATCAACAGGAAGAAGCCAACGATTCGATCACCAAGGCGCTCATCAACGAGGAAGCACTGAATCCCGTCGTCTCGATTCGCGGACGTCTGGAGTAAGTTACAGTTTTACGGAATCATCACTCAAGCCGGTTCTCTCTTGCGTGTTAAATATATAACGTTAATATATTAAGCTCGCGTGTGTGACGTTTAATAATATTAAAAGGACGCTTTTGACGCCTTTGTAAGCGACTCCCCATGCGACTTCGCTATACCTACTTTTGTACGCGCGCTTATTTCAACGGGATTTGTCCTGGAATATAAAAACTTCTGCTATATTATTATACATATCTTATCTCTAAAAAATCATTTTAATTATTAATTTAATTATGTAATTAATTCATTGCGATAACATAAATTTGAAAAAAGTAAGTTGAAAAAATATAATGAATAATATTCTTGTGGGACAATTTTTTGGATAACTTTGGACGTAATGAAAATGAAAATTAAGAAACTCTTAAACGAAAAATTGCCTTTGATTTATTGCTTTATGTAAATTGTATACAATTTTAGATAATGTGTGATAGATAATTTATTTTGTTATATTTAGGTTTATAGAAAAGAATTTTAGAGATAAAGATTTCAGATACACAATTTTCTCTTCAAATAATTTTGTCTTATATGACTTGTTTTTTAATGATAAAAATTCTTGTAGCATTACAATTAAAAGTGCGTGCGACAAATGAAATGAACTGTTATACTTATTGTTAGAATTATTGTATGTCTACAAGCAACAATTATATGACGCAATAATGTATTACTTGATAAATTATCGGTAATAATTTCGTCCGCCAGTGAATAAAATCAGCAAATTCAATTTATTTCTCGATTAACTGGCGCAATATGTACAAAAATGCACGACGTTTCGGCTCAAGATTCGAACCCTTTTCAAGTGCGAACTGAAACAGGAACAGCGAGAAAAAAACAAACAATATAAATGAATCGAGATAAATATTAAATTAACGACGTTAAATATAGTGAGCAATACCTATATCATCTATTGACTCGTCACATAATTAATACAGATTCCTGAGTTCACGAACATGTTCCCGCATGGCCATAAAGGTCAGCTGCGGACCAATTTGTTGATAAATTATGATGTTATAATGATATTTAATTTCTTGCAGATTTGTCGGTGGGGTAATAAATCGCGAACGCGTTCCAGCCTTTGAGAGAATGCTTTGGCGTATATCACGCGGAAACGTTTTTCTTCGGCAAACTGAACTTGATAAGCCGCTGGAGGATCCAGCTACGGTTAGCTTTCATTCTTATTTTATTTTAACACATAAAAATTACTTAATTTATTATATTTGCTAATCTTTGTCGGTTATTTATACGCGTGAAAAAGGTGGCACATGCAATATCAAAATAAAACTAACGGACCTCGAAAAATTAATTTAGCTTCGTTTTAATACATGTCGCAAAATGAGAATGTTGCACGTTCATTGATGCGCTTGATCCTTTTTTTGCGATTGTTTTCAGGGCAACGAAATCTATAAAACGGCTTTTGTGGCATTTTTTCAAGGAGAACAATTGAAGACTCGTATTAAAAAAGTCTGCACTGGCTTCCATGCCTCGCTTTATCCGTGCCCAACCAGCCATGCAGAACGTCAGGAAATGCTGAAAGGTGTGCGTACACGGCTAGAGGACCTTAAATTGGTGAGATTGTTGTGTCAAAAGAAATTACAAATGTGTAATACTTAAATAGTATATTTACATAATAAGTGCTTAATATAAATGTGTGTATCCTATAAATATACTGTTATATCATAACTTTATTATTAATATTAATTATTATTATGGTCCCAGAGAAAAATTTTCTATATTTAATTATGTACAAAATATGTCTATACATGTGTTTTCTTTTTTTTGTATAATCTTTGTTTGTATATACAAGAAAAATAATAAGATAAATAATTGAAAAATAATTGGAAAAATAGTTTTTGCATTATTTTTTTACACGGAGGTAAAATTGCGATTAGATTATATAATGTATATATATAAAATCATATTTTGTTTATAATTATTACATTTTTGTATATGATTATATCATATATTACATTTATATATAATGATAATGATATATACGTTTATACGTATATGAACAATTTTTCCTCATTTTTTCAAGTTTCAACTTTCTTATTAAAAAAACAATGTAAAAATCATTCTTTTAATTATTTTTTAATTCTTTTTTTTATTATTTTTCTTGTTTATACGTTCAGAGATTATACAAGAAAAAGAAAACATATATAGAAATATTTTATACACTGAGAAAAAAAAATCGTAGATTCAAAGAAATATTATTTGATTCAACTAAATGCAGTGGTCACGGGCTGTCAAGCTAACATTTGTTAATTCAAAAAATATTATATTTAAATAGATTCAGAATTTCTTGATATTATTCACGTATATTTGATTTAAATATATTAATATTTGCATTAAACAAATCACTACAACTAAACGAGTTTAGTCAAATTTACAACATTTTTTTCTCAGTGTATGTATTTAATTACATATGAAACAATTTTTTGGGGATTAATTTTATTTTTAAATATTACTTGGCAGATTTTAATTAATAACAACATATAATTAAATTGAGGAAATATTTTAATTAATATTTGATTATCTAATCTAGACAATGAGGAAATGTCTTATTGTATCTGAATAACTTTTCTGCTAAGGTACTAAATCAAACGCAAGATCATCGCCAGCGTGTTCTGCATAACGTAGCGAAGGAATTACCAAACTGGAGTATCATGGTGCGAAAGATGAAAGCTATTTATCACACAATGAATCTGTTCAATATGGACGTGTCAAAAAAATGTCTCATTGGAGAATGCTGGATGCCTATTTCCGATCTCGGGACCGTACAAAATTGTCTTACAGAAGGATCGGTTAGTGTACATATACCTATAAAAAATATCCAATAAAATTATAACGTGGATTACATTCTTTTTGTTGCTTTATATATTTTAAAAATAAAAATAAAAGGATTTAAACGGTTAATGTTACGATAATTGACTAGACTAGAAGCAATATTGTGTTAAATAAAAATACAATTTTTTTGCCAGACATAATAGAAGAAATTTCATTTATTGTCAATAAAAAACTTAATAAGATTAGAAATTATACTTGAGTTAATATTTACAAGTGAATCATTAAGTTCCAAGCAGCTGTCCTTATAGAAACAGCGTCAAATCCGTATTCTGCTAAATAACTTATAATTTGTTGCAAAGTAAAAAGTTTTTGTATTGTTACCGTCTTCTCAGAAAACAACATTTCGAAACACAAAGATATGATCTATTGAATAAAGGAATGTAGGGTTTTTTTTTAGCGACAATGTGGCAGCTCCATACCGTCTTTCCTCAACGTGATCCACACGGATGAAAATCCTCCGACGTTCAACAGGACGAACAAGTTTACGAGAGGCTTTCAAAATCTAATTGACGCGTACGGTGTGGCATCGTATCGCGAAGCTAATCCGGCACTTTACACTATCATTACGTTTCCCTTTCTGTTCGCCGTTATGTTCGGCGACGCTGGCCATGGTGAGTAAATCCGAGCGAGCAAGTGGAACGATGAACAAATATGTGAGAAATAGATATATATTTTGTCAAGTAATCGTTATCGGTACGTGACTTTTTGCGTTAGGGCTGATACTGACGCTTTTTGGTTTGGCTATGGTGCTAATGGAGAAAAAGATCAACGCGCAAAAGTCCGACAACGAAATTGGGAATCTATTTTTCGGCGGTCGTTACATCATCCTCCTCATGGGTTTGTTTTCCATCTACAGTGGTTTTATCTACAACGACATATTCGCAAAGTCAGTTAACATATTCGGATCTAGTTGGAGGGTCAGGTATTCGTACACCGTCGTGAGAGATAACAAAACGCTAGAATTGTCGCCAAACAAGAACGAGAGTTACCTACAGTATCCCTATCCTCTGGGTGTAGACCCGGTTTGGGCTCTCGCTCACAACAAAATTGTATTTCACAATTCGTTCAAGATGAAGCTGTCGATTATTCTTGGCGTCGCGCACATGATCTTCGGCGTCTGCATGAACGTCGTCAATATGGTGTAAGTATCGTAATCTTGATGAAAGAAATTAAGATCCAGACAGCACGCATGTCCAAAATTGGGACATAAGACGTCTTGAAGACATCTTTGAGATGAAATATTGTTTAAAAGATGTCTTATATGTCCTAATTTTTGACATGGTACGTGTTATCTGGGGAGTGATTGCAAAAATTGTACTACTGTTGAAAGAAAATGTAGATGCGTTACATATATAATACACGTATGAATGTCGAGCAGGGTACGTCAAATTGTGTTCTGCGTTTTTGCGCCAAAGAAGAATTACGAAAGATTAAACGATATTTTTTTATGTGTACCTATATTGCCATAAGTGATATCTCGTGATAATTCGATAGAAAGCATTTCCGTGAATTCCTGTTTGCATAAAATACTTTTATTCTTTCCGAAGCAGGTTTGATTAAAGTTTTCGACGTTGATCGACGTTTTGTACATATCGCGCATTGTGACCTTTTTTCAGACATTTCAAGAGATATGCCAGTTTGTTCCTTGAATTTCTACCACAATTGCTCTTCCTTGTATGGCTATTTTGCTACATGACTGTCTTGATGTTTATTAAATGGGTTTTGTACGAGGCTTCGGCTGAAGGTAAATATTAATTTATCTTCAAGTAAGTGATTGCAATATACATAAACACACATACATAATTTCTGTGACGTAATGTGATGCTTTGTAATGCAGATCCAAGACTGACACCAGGTTGCGCACCGTCGGTGTTAATTACATTTATTAACATGATGCTTTTCAAAGATGCCGAAGTGCCTGATGGTTGTTCCCAGTACATGTTCGAGGGACAGGATGTCTTGCAGATGGTTTTGCTTGCCGCCGCCCTCTTGTGCGTTCCCGTTATGCTTTTCGGGAAGCCATTATTTATTCTATTTTCAAAGAGACATAGGACATCAGGAAAGATTTACGTAAGTAACTTGTTATTTTGCTTTGTACCATTTAATTTCTATTACTTAATGATTTATTTTATTGTATACTCACAATTTTTAATAATAAAAATGCGGCCTTTGATTTTTACCTTACACCATATAAGCGTCACTTGTACATATGTACGAAATTAGTAATTTCAGCAAGCTATTAAGCTCATTAGATCATCACAGATATCGGTGATATATGTATAAACAAAAATTTAGCAAACAATAGCTAATAATATTAAACGTCTCGAGATTGATGGATCATAATATTAGATGAAATGGGAGAATTGGTGTTTTGTACTTAATCACAAATACAAATAAAACACTCGGCTGATGTTACACGCGTGTTGCTTGCCCAGAGTAATGGGAGTGCATCCCAGGACATCGAGTTGCAGGCCCAAGAACCGCCGGACGCTGGGACCAGCAAGGATGCAGCGGCGGATGATCACGGTCACGACGACAGCTTCAGCGAGCTGATGATCACTCAGATCATCCATACCATAGAATACGTTTTATCCACCGTTTCGCACACTGCCTCCTATCTACGATTATGGGCCCTGTCGTTGGCCCACTCTCAGCTGTCAGAAGTGCTCTGGAACAGAGTGTTGCGAATAGGCTTAGGCGCCGCGGAAGATCAGTATATCAACAGTATTGTCCTATTTGCCGTGTTTGCTGTCTGGGCCTTCTTCACCGTCGTCATTCTTGTCTTGATGGAGGGCCTCTCGGCGTTTCTTCACACGCTTCGACTTCATTGGTACGTGTGACATACCAGGCTGTTTCAAAGAGGCTGCGCTTTTTTGATAAAGTGTTTTGTTTCAAGTGAAGTTAAAACGAGTCCAAAACTGTTTAAGAAGGAAATTGTAGAATACCTTTTAAATGGGAAAAAAATGCAGATTATTTTCTAACTATTTTATTTAATAAGAATTATTTTTAATTGGTTTTACATTTTCAACTTCAGCAAATAATATAAATCTTTTTTTTTTGTATTAATTTCTAATGTTTAATTTCTAAAGTTTTTATTAATAGTTTTTCTGTTGATCTATTTACTGATGTGGAGTGCTAATTGATCAAATTTAGAGAATTAAGGCATTTTATTATCGTATTCTGCTGTTTTCTATTACTTTTTAATAACATTTATGCTTTAGGGTCGAGTTCATGAGTAAATTCTACGAAGGCTTAGGACATCCCTTCCAACCATTTTACTTCAAGAGCATCTTAGATGCAGAGGATATCGAGGAATAGATGCTGCCGCTGGTCTTCACAGCAATAATCGTTAGATATATAATTACTGAATATTATGCGCGAAAATTTCTTTATTTTAAATATTTTCATATACGCGAGGCCTTGTCTTGTTGCCTAGGAAAGTACAAGAAGGATTAATTGCCATGGATTGTTTTAAATGAGTGTGACAATGTGCCTTCTTCAACAATTATAGTTATTGATCACGTGTCCATGTACATTGGTCAAATACGCACACGATAATTACAATAAGAGAAGAAGAAGAAATATACGTTTTCTCAATATTTTTTACACGTTGATAACAATGCCGATCGAGAAATTGGCGCGCATTATAAAAGTTTATTTTAGATATTCATTTTCAAATTTTTACTTTATTTAATCTACCGAATTTGAAAAAAGAATTTATTTGCGGAGCCGGCTCTAAATTTTGTTGCTAGTAAATTTTTGCTAATTTTTATCTGCTTGTATATAATTCTTTTAAATTACTTATAGTTTAATACTTTAAAAAGAGGAAGTGTAACAACGTCTGCGCTTAGTAAAACGAATTCAATTAGTTTATCAATTATTTCATTTTAAGATAAGATTCGCGATTAGAGTTAACTCTGCTCGTCCAACGTTAAACGACCATGATCGCGGTATTATTTCAACGGAAGCGGAAAAGAGATATAAAAGACGCATATGATTCAGCAACTACGCTGCTGCTGATGTTGCCGAGTGCGCGTTATATTCATTCCATTAATTACCTAGTAACGTGGACATGCCATAGTCGCTGTAGCTCGTCATTAAGCACGTCGCGCGTTGTAATATTTTATAACGTCGCGCTTATAGTTCATTCTCCGCGCAGAAAAGCTGTAATCGGAGCCGTTGTAATTATGGCGCTACGATGAAGAAATTGGAAAATGAAGAAATTATGTTGATCCGAATCGTGTTCCAAATAACATGCATGTCCCAAATCGGGACATATAACGTCTTAAAGACGTCATTAAGACGTCTTCAAGACATCTTAAAGATATCATTCAGACGTCTTAATGATATCTTTAAGACGCTATATGTCCCGATTTGGGACATTGTGTTCACTGTGGGGTGCCGCACCGTAGCTTGATCGATGCTCGACGGACTCAGACAAGCGGCGAAATGTACATTCTTGTATTACTGTAGTACAAATCCTCCCGAGTGATTGGTAACCAGAGGTATTCGAACTTGCGCGAAGTTACCATAACAACTGTATCCACCATTAGGTATTAATGCGACGTGTCAAAAAGAGAGCGATGTGTACACACTACACACTCGTGCGCGAGGTATTCCCGAGATCCCGATTTTCTCTCGACGACGTGATTTTCAGTCGATCTTCGTTATAAAGACGTCAAACATCTTCGGCCTATAGGCCTATATAAATAAGGTTTAAAATAAGGATCTTTTTGTGAATGAAATTCACGTGCCGTGATTGAATAACGAAACCCATTTAAATATTTGCTTTGTTTTTGCAAAGCTAATTAATTTACCCAATGTTATCTCTTCCAGTGCCGAATATCAGTTGTCGCAAGAAATGATGGTTGAAAATCTTTCATAAGGAAGAAAATAAATTTTTCTTACGGAAAGATTGATTCCTAGTTTAACTTGTGAATTCAATTGAAATTAAGATCGAGATCTCTGGGATATAATTTGTGTATATATAGATAAATATTCAATATATATTTTATCAATGTGTTAAAATAAATTGATAAGTATTGCATATATTGACGTGTTCTGCATGATTTTTTTCTTCTGTTTTTTATTTAAATTTTCGAAAAGATATCACATTGACTGTCATTTAAACTTACTTTCGTGCGTCGCGTAACTGAAAAAGAAAAAAAATGTTGATTAATTACTTGATATAGAAACGGGGAATGTGTGAATCTCATTTACAAGTACGCAACGAATGTTATATATAGATATCCTTTTTAGACATTCTTTTTAAGAAAATGTCACGCACAAAGCTGTCCCGCATTTCTCATTAGCTCAACGTGCGTGTATTTTCATAATTAGTGTATAGTACGCTACAAATTATAACGGACTGGATTTATTTTACATATTTCATAGATTATGGATATTAAAATAACTCCGTTGAAAAGATTAGCGGATTAACTCTTTAAATTCCGTGTACTTTCAACAGATTTGTATGCTTTTTTCTCTAAAAATGAAAACAATTATCCTTAATTTTTTTGCTTTTGCGTAAAATGGAAAGATTCTTTAATGGCAAACTTCGAAATGCGATAATTAACGTTTGATTAAATACAGAAATGTGTCATATTGGATCGTATACATCTTTTGTCTGCTGTAGCTTTCACATAAAGGAACGAAGAAATTACTATCAATTAGAAAAGGAATAAAATAATCTTAAAACGTTTTAAACTTTTTCCAATACAAGAAAGTCGTTTAATCAACTTTTCCTGGTCTTCATTTTCTTGCTATTTGAGACATCCTGTCTCCGCGCAGAAACAAATGGAAATTCGTAAGCCTTTTCTAATTAGAACGACTTGTACGACGTAACGTGTTGTATCCCCACTGCTTGTAAATAAGTCACCGGGAATTTGCAATTAGGACACGTCCAACTGTTTTACGGTGCGTCCAAAGATGGTATCAATTTAATTAAAGTCTAGCGACGATAATTAAATCGTGACCGCCTCCTTCTGAAAGAATTCATCATGATATGCAAAATAATGCGTCAATATCAGCCGGCTTCAATACCGTACAGGCTGAGAAATAAAAAATAAAAACAAAAAGATTTCGTACACAGTTATCACAAGTAAATAGAGATGTGTTATTTTCAGTCGAGTTGGATCTTGGTAGCCTAATAATATTTTTATTTACGTCGCCTGAAGTAATGAATGTTTTTCTTAATATTTACGCATAATAATGGTTATTGCGATGAAATCACTACATACCTCAGTCGAATTGATTAAATTAGTCAAATTGGTAAAAACGCCAGTTACAGATTGGAGGGAGATCCAGGTCTTCAAACCTTGGCTGGAATAATATAGTTTTTGCAATAAATCTTGTAGTGATTTAAAGGATGCTTATTATTATCATCATTATTAAATCGATTTAATTATGTGAATTTACTATTCGAACTAGACTGTGTTTTAAGACTGATAAAACAATTGATCCGTAGTTTGCTGAGTAGAAAAATGTACATATACATACAAAAGATATTAGGCTACAAAGATCCAGCCTAGCCGAAAATCGTGCATATCTATAACTTGCTTGTGGTATTCACATATTGATCAAATTCCACTTATTATTGTTGATTTTATAGTTAATCAGACATTTAATGATTACAATTATTAATGCAATTACGTTGTTAAGATTTAATATTGCATTAATAATTAATATATTTTGTTTAATCAATTTAATATATGTACATTAAATTCAATTTAATGGTTGTAAACTCTAAAATGGTTACCAATTTTGATTAGACAATCATTTTTTTTAATGATTAATTAGCTTCTCGCTTTTAGAGATATAAATGTTTATTGCAAAACGTGTGCAAAATATAAACCAAGGTATCAACGAAATCCGCTTCGTACGCATTAAATCGATTGCGGATTTGCTCTTCAATCGACACGAGGAAAGAGCTCTGTCATGAATTGTCGCGAAGAGAGATATGAAAGCGCAATAAAAAGTTCCTGCTTATTTAAGTGAAATAATCGCGCTTCCATCGGACTTTGCCTAGGAAATAAAAACTTGAAATTAATATCTGTCTTTATTGCATCCGGAAAAGTGTATAAAATAAAAAAAAGTATTTATTGTTTCGTACTCTTTGAAAGCCATTTATTTGATGTTTAATACAATCGGAGAATGTTTTTATATTTATTATATTAAATAATGATTGGTCTCGACGGTTATAAGTTTAAAAAACGTGTAATCACAAGAAAATTTGATTAACGTAATGTATAATAATCTAACGTAATGTATAATAATCATCCCTTGTTTATTATTTAAAGAATTTTACGAAAGTTCCAAAAAAATGTTACACGCAAACTATTTACCGGAACTATTTGCAAAGTTATACGGGGTTGAATATTGCGGATCGCTATGCCGAAGTCAATCTCGACGAGGGCGAAGATCGGAGGACTTCTATTAACTCGAACTAACAGCTTTGAAGTTATTCGATCGTTATTGATCGCACGAAACTCTCTCTTTCTCCCTTTCTCGTGTTTCGCGATCTTCCACTTGGAGCACGACGGCATGGCATAGCATGGCACTTCCGCCACTTCCGATCCAATCCTACGGGAGATCGAATTTGCGGCAACGGTCGCACCGTGGGTATTTGACAGAGTTGCGCGCGCTGATGCAACGTTTTCTCCAATTTAATGGGCGAGAACAGAGCGAGAGTTCAGTAAGCGACGCGCGCTGCCTGCCACCGTGTGTTCCCGTATATATCCCGGGCGCCAGCATCCCTCGCGCATGGACCCGTACGCGCTCGATAACGCAGGTGAGTGTACGGATCATCAGGGTCGGATTTATATATGTATGTATAATATATAAATTGAAGCTTTGCGACTCACACAGTTGCAAGGAGTTGTCCCATTTTCCCAAGGGGCATGTCCCACTTTCCGAAATTATTCTCGGGCATTTATCTGAAATGCGTTCTCCCAGATTTCCGCTAGATGAACGAATAGATGAATGAAGAGTTAGATAAGTTTTTCTTCGTTTTTCTAGATTTCTCTTACGCTTATTTACAATAAACAAACAATGAATCAGAAGTGATAATCACTTCGTTAATTATACTGCCTTCTTAAAAAATTTATGAAATTTCCAGTTGCTATTTCATTGAGATTTATTAACAATGTTTATTCAAGAAACATGAGCCGTTCGCGGAACACTCAGCAAATGATAGAACGTTTTGAAGATATTTATAAATCGTTTATTTTCGACTTTTAACCGCTTTCAATTTAGTTGGTAGAATTTCAAGATTACGGCTTAGAGCTGCAGTACAGTTTAATCTCGCTGATGCCGACGACGTTATGCACGTGTGGAATTTTGGGAATTCATAGGCGCGGGAGCGTTAGTGTCTTGCTAATTTCGCATAAAAGTAATTGATATATGATTCGCGTTAAATATTTCATTAATTATATTAAATTGAATCATCGCTCTCTAAATTTCATAGAGTAGTTTCGCCACTAATATATTAGAGTGATTGCGATAGTCACTTTAAAAGAGAGAGTTGTCACTCTAATTTGAGTAAATGCAGACACTCATAAGGCGGAAGTGAATTTTTCAAATTTTTAGAGCGGCTAGCTCTATCGGAGTGATATGATCTCACTCTAAAGGTATAGTAAATAATGATTTTTTTACTCAAAATTTTAGAGTGACATCATTCACTCCTATGGACACTGATTTACTGCACTCGAAAAGAGTGTTCTTTTACTGAAATAGAGTGCGATTTTACTTCAACTTATAGAGCGCAATTTACTCTTTCTTGGCGAATCATTCGAAGTTCACAGGTTCAATTTTCACGTTTCGTTACACTTGCATTTCACTCGTTTTGAGTGATATTTCGCTCTTCGACTTTTAGAGAGTGCGTTGAAAGGGAGATATGCGAGCAGCGTTGTGCAGGTGGTTGCTCGGTAGTTATTTTCTAATCGTCGGACAACCAAGAAGACAATTGTTGTCAACCGTTGCGTCGTAGTTTGCGTATAAGTTATAAGTCATAACGCCATAGGACGTATTCTTCCTCAAATAGCGAGCGCATTTGCAAAATGCACCGGTGAGTCTCGTGAAGCGCGAAAACTCGACGTGACATTGTGGATCAGAAACTTCGTGAAGCGTGTTATGTGTTGCGTTAGTAATTGCTTAGCCGTGATGCGCGGTACATTTTAGCACGGGATTTAAGAAATAAATATATTTTGTTTAGTTATTATTATTTTTATTATTTTGTGATCTAGTTGATTTTTAATTTATTAATAAACAATTAAAGATGAACCAACTGAAATCAGAATTAATTCGCGTTTTATTTTAATACAATTTAATCTTCGATAACTCGACAAGCTGTATGTCGTTTACATAATAGATATCGTCTTATCTAACAATAAATGATGTTGAAAATATTTAAATAAAATACAAATAATGAGAGAATTTAAAACTTTCATACAAAATAAGTTTTATAATAAAATACAAAATATATAATACGTTATGATAAATTATCGTTGAAAATATCAGTTAAGAAATAAACTAAATAAGGATCACATGGTCCTTTATAACAACTGAAGTGTCCAGCGAGAACTTTACGAAATTTTCCATAGAGAGAGAGAGAGAGAGAGAGATAGGATCTTTTCCTATCATCGTTAATTCTATGGCGAAAAAAAATTCGCGGATAACCGACGTGACCATTTTTCAAACTTTATGATTGGAAAAGCGTTGGGCCAGGCGACAAAGTTTTTCCATTAGCTAGGAAGAGAAGAGTGAGTCGGCGGTTTCATCAGGGCCGAGAATCTCCCGCGTCCTCCCGGAAGATTCTGTCTGAATTGCATCCTCGCCATTAGGATCATAGCGTGCTCTAAAGCGCCTCGCGTCCTTCTCGTTATCTAGCATACTCTCAAACTTTCTTTGGCTAATTCATTTCGCCGAAAGTAGCGAGATAAGTCGGATGTCAACAAATTTATTTCCTCGTTGATTCTCTCTCTCTCTCTCTCTCTCTCTGATTATTTCAGCGTCTCACAAGAAGGATTTTACAGCGGAAACAGGGTGTCGCTTGAACTTTCAATCACGTCTACCCCGGAAATTGCCTACTCATAAAATTAAAATCTTCTTGATCACCAAACATTTTACATGTAGGAAAACCACAATGATAATTCTGTCATATAAATAATGGAAGGGTTTTACATAAGAAAGCAATTACTGAGTAAGTTTATTTTTCTGTAAAAGTGCTTGTATTTGAATATTTTTACTAACTACGTGATCGTCCTGCGATTTAATAATTTTATTTCCTAAATTTCGAAGGCATCCATTGAATGTTTCCTATATACGTGTACAGTTTTATAAAAATTGAAGTCACTGCAGTATTATGGAACTATTACAATATAAATAGCGCTGCTATATAAATCTAATCAACGGAATATATTGATAATTTTATAATAAAATAGAAACTGCTTTCATACATAATTTCTATGTATCAAAAATATTGTCCTTTGTCGCATATATACATACATTTTGTTATTAAAATTTTAGAATACTTAAAATTTTTTTTTTATACAGATGGATAATTAAATATAATATTGTTTATATAAATTTCTTTCTCATATATGTATATTTTTCCGTATAAACTCTAGTAGTATGTTCTATAAGCAGAAATAAGAGAGAAATGTTATATAAACGTAGGTCCTAAAATGCTTTATTAGAAGTTATAGCAAAAATACGAAATATATAAGAAACAACCCAAACAGTTTTAACCCTCAAACACTCACTTTCTGGGCCACCCATTATAGCTCAGGAAAATTAGACAAAAAAATAACAAATTTGCGGAAAAATTTGCACTCAGCTGAATTTTTGCATAGACCTTTATTTCGTTGTTATAAACAATATGTGAAAAGTCCCCCCATCAATGTGACCCTTGCTAAAAATTTTACAGAGGGTCAAAGGTAAAAAAAAACAGTTTTTTGCGAATATCTCTGTATTCATTAGTTCTACGGCAAAAATAGTTATTATAAAATTTGTAGTTTATAAAATTCTCTATAAAAAACATTCCATAAGTTTTTTTCGTAGGATTAATCGTTTTCATGTCCTGTGGCTTACAAAGTTTCAACTTTCATGCATTTCAGAGATAATGCACTGTTTTCCACACCACCTCGGAGATACAGTGCTAGGCGCGTTTTTTGTAATGTGGTGTTCCCAATAGGCCTAATTCACTGTTTTTCTGAGAGAAATAAAACAATTAAGTACTTCTTCTTCAATTTCCTTCGTTGGGTGGATATCCATAACTTCTTCAATTTTCATGGCTTCCACCAAGAAATCTACAGGATGTACATCTTCGTAGCTGTCGGCATAGCATTCTTCGATTGCGTCAGGTGCTGTGTTGAGGCAAAACTGGCAACGGGAATGTCTACACCACACACTGCTGAACATTTTAAACCAATTTTTCTGCAGCCACAGTTGAATCCACAACTTTTCGAGCAGTTGCAAAAAATGGAGTTTCACAAAGTGTCCGGTGCAGATGGTAGCAAAGATGGAATCGATTCTGAAATATCATTCCTCCTTATCCATCCTCAGTTTTCAGGATTGAGATTGTTCCTCGAGCCATGTTTGCACTTGATAGTACACCCGACAAATGCTGTTGAGCAACACTATAGATGTTGGTGGAAGAGTATATAATTTCACTGCCTTAGTAAGCAGCGTTGATTAACAAAACAATAATATCTGAATATGTCTATTGATTTCTCATTATGTGAAGCGTCATACATCGCCAAAAGGAAACGTACTCCATTAGTAAAAATTAATTGTGGCGAATATACTTTTATTTTAAAAATCTGCAGAATTTCTCAAATCGTCACGTTTTTTAAATATTTTTAAAGCTTTCGATTTACCTTTGTTAAACAGAGCAGATGTGGTAAAAGTAAAGACCATATTTTGTTTTTGCACGTAATCACTGGCTGCGCGACACGACATTCGCTCTATGCAAAAATTCAGCGGGGTGCGAATTTTTCCGCAGATAAATCCTAATTTTCCATGGTTAGCGTAACCTATTTCTTTTTTTTTTATCTCGGGATCTAATTTTACACCAATTTTAAAGTCATTTTTTTTTAAATCGATACACCAAACATTAAAGAAAAAGAATATATAGATGAAAATGACATAAAACTTCTGGTATTCGAGATACTTTGAAAAAAAAGAAGAGAGAGAACTAAAAAAAGATCCAAACACTGAGAAAAAAATTTATTAATCTCAAAAAATATTTAGTCCAATACGAGCAACTAAACATGTTAGTTAACTAAACATTAGTTGTTTCAACAATTATTAAGTTGCACTAAAAAAGGTATAATGCATTCATGCGTTTTTAAAATTTTTTAATCAAGAATTAATTAATTTAACTAATGTTTAGTTAAACTATATAAAATATTTAGTTGCTCGTATTGGACTAAATATTTTTTGGGATTATTTTTTATTGAAAAAACCGGTTGTATTAAATCACAATTTTCTTTTAAAAAGAGATACGAGGGTTTAATTATATATGAATGGAAAGGTAATGAGTTGGTTTAAGAAAAAAAATACGTCATAATGATTTGTTTCAAAAAGTATATTTAATCGATGAGGTGAAGTTAGGTGATTTTTGTACTTTTATTAAAGTATATGATTAAACAAATGTTCTGTGCATAAAAAGTCACATCCTCCGTTAAAAATAATAAGATAAATTTTTTTGTTTTTCCATTTTATTGTCGGTTATTAGATCGCGCGGATTTTGATCTTCGGAGATCTCGTAATATTTTAGAAAACTTTTAATCTGGACTCTCAAATCTGATCGGAGAGTTATAATCGTAGAGCGCCTTGATAAGCGCCGCGCCAAACTGAGATCTAGTGTATGAAATCAATGCGCTTTATTTTTACGTTATTCTATATATAAAGTGTACAAAATCAAGAAATTTACATTTGCTGGATCTAACATGCCGTCAAAATATTTCTTGAGACGAACCGACGCGACGCCGCGACGCCTTGCTATTTAAACGTTATCACAGCACTGGATGAACGTAATCATATATATGTTTCAACACATTCTAGCTACGCAGCGTCGAGCACTCAGCACACTAAAGCTGCTATACCGGGATTACCGGGGGATTTGTAGTGGGGATGTGTAAGTTCCCCCCCCCCCCCTGGTCTCAACCCCTTACTCCTCACCATTTAGAAATGCTGGCGCGTGTTCCGAACGAATTGGGTTACCGTAACCCACATGTGTGTTTGAGGGTTAAAGACATTAGGACGTCTCAAGGCTCGTCTACACGACAAGGCGTAAGACGGCGTAAGGGCGCAGACGCAGGCGCAAGAAGTTGTTGTTGATCGTAGCGGCGCGGCGCAACGGCGCAGGAGAAATAAATTATTTTTATTTCCAACGCCTGCGCCCACGTTACGCCGACTGTTTTGTAGATTAAATTAACGGCTTGGGTCGCTCACGTATCATCGCCGGATGGCCGATGCTATCCGTGAAGAAACTTTTGTGCCAGAAGAAGAAGTATCATCGCCGGCTTTACCTCTATTATGGTGTGAACGTTGAAAACATGGAAGAAAGTTATAATGAGGCGTGTTCCTGTGTAGACGAGCATGGCGCAGACATCTTGCGCCTACGCTTGAGTTTGTGCCTGCGCCCTTGCGCCGCGCTTTTATGCCTTGTCGTATAGACGAGCCTTTTTATATCCCGATTTTGGACATAGTGCTGTCTGGAAATTTTACTTAAATTTGCATTTTAAAATGCCACCAGTCCATGTAAATACAAGCTATACATCGATGTAAACTTATCACTTTAAGAATTTGAATCCGTCAAGCATAATTGTAAATAAACATTGGTAAAGACTGTGTGATGCGGGATTCTTATATAGGAAATCGACTGAGATATTCTTTAACAGAAGCCTTTGCATTTCTTGCACACAAACCTGTATAGAAAATAATAAATATTGTGTATTCTTTGTTTGTGAAAACTCGCAGCATTTTGCGACAATATTTTACAACCCAGATAACACAATGTCCAAAATCGGGACATAAGACGTTTTAAAGATGTCATTAAGGACGTTCTCTCGTCCTTATATTAGAGAAAATCGATTTTTTTAGGATTTTCTTTAAACTGTGAATATATGTTAATTTAGGTGTGCTTTATGCGTGGTATAAATTTCAGTACCTCTTCCGGTATAAAAAATCAAGATACTGAGCCTCAAAGTTTCAACTTTTACTAATGAAAAGGTTTTCTAGGCCAAACGGTAAGAGATACGAGGTTGGCCAAGAGGACTAAAGTTGCTCCTCTCGTCGAGTTCTATAAGGAAAAAATGCCAAAACTAAAAAAAATAGAATTTTAAATTTTTTTTTGAAACTTTGAGGCTCAGTATCTTTATTTTTTATCCCGGAAGAGGTAGTGAAATTTATATCACGCATAAAGCACACATAAATTAACGTATATTCACAGTTTCAAGAAAATCCTAAGAAAATCGATTTTCTCTAGTATAAGGACGAGAGAACGTCCTTAAGACATCATATTATAAAACGTCTTAACTACGTCATTAAGACGTCATTAAGACATTGTGTTATCTGGGAAGGTATATATTGCTCGTTATTAGTATTTATACAAGTTTTCATGATCATTTTCAATTAATTTAAATAGTAAACACGAATAGAAAAAACGGATAAGATAACGGCGTGTTACATATCTATGTCAAGACCATTGATTATTACTTCTTCAATATAAAATTTTAACCTTTATTGCTATAACTTTCTAATAAAGCATTTTGGGATCTATGTTTATATAACATTTATTTCTTATTTCTGCTAATAGAACGTACTATAATAGTAAAGTTTGTTACGGAAAAACCTGGGACACCCTGTATGTGTATATATACATATATGCAATTTTAAGAAATAATTCTCTCTCGCTTTATTTGTACATGATATATAAATTATTTCTAAATGTCTTCTTTTTAATAGTAAATTGTGCGTATTATTAGCTGGCATATTTAGTTAGACTAATTAAAAAAAGTATTTGTAATTTCTAATATCAGTATCATCTACGCAGTACGATGTCCGCATGATGTCAAGACCAAGGTATGTCCGTTTTTATCTCAGCGAATTATAGCTATAAATACTAATTGAAGGCACTTCCTAAGACAATACGGTCGTTTATATATCATTCAATTTCTCCTTTTCGTCTTTTTCGTGTATCTTGTTCATCGTGACGTCGCGATCGCTCGTGGCGGTTTTCGCGCCGCCGCCCATGCAGGTGGTGAAGCAAGTGTCGCCCTTGCCGAAGTTCTCGCCGTCCTCGATGGACTCCGGCATCGGTTGATTCAGCGTTTCTGGCAGGTAGAGCGCCAGGAAGCCTGCCACCAGAGCGACGAGGCCGAAGAACCCGGCTGGCATTCGCGGGTCCAGCGAGTCCAGCAGGAAGATCATAGGCGTGAGAGCGCCGCTGAGACGAGCGCACATGGAGCCGATACCGAGCGCCGTGTTCCTCACCACCGTGGGAAACAGCTCGGCCGTGTAGTTGTACACTATGGCAAAAGAGCCAGCAATGCAACCCTTGCCCAGGAGCACTATCGTGACCTTGGCCACGGCCGCCAGTTCGTCGGTGGCGCCGGTGATGATGGCGGCGCATATACAGCACAACCCGCCTATCATCAAGAACGCGCTGACCAGACATCGCCTACCGGTGCGGTCCATGGTGAATATTATCAAAATGTATACCGGAAACTCCAGCACGCCGCTGAGGAACAACATGATAAACGGATTGCCGACGAGATTGCCCATATTGAGCGCCAGTCCATAATAAGCGATCGAGTTGGCGAACCAGTTGAGGCAGATATTCAGACTTTTTTTGCGGAGATTCGGTGTCCTGAAGAGATCCAGCGCGCCGTGCGACTTGTCCTCTTTGGTCTCTTGCTGCACCTTCGATTTGCTGATTAACTTGGCGGCGTCCACGTGGACGTTGCTGCCGTTCACCTTTAAACCCTTCTGTACGATGATAATCGCCTCGGCGGCGCGATTGTGCGCCCACAGCCACCTGGGCGACTCGTCCATCCACCACCAGTGGCCGAGTAGGACCGCGCTGTGCATACCGTATACAATCTGCAGCCACATGCGGTCCTTGAGCACGGCGCCCCACACAGCCACCAGCATAAAACCTGCGGCAAAGGCCAATTGAAACAATATGCCGCACACGGTCCTCCTGGACGGACCCACCAATTCCATCGTCAGCACGAATCCGGTGATGTACGCGCCGGCGGAGCCAAAGATACCGTACAGGAAACGGATCGCTAGGAAAATATAGTAGTTGTTGATCAAGGCGACTAATACTCCGAGTGTCAACTGTGCCACGGCGGAGACGTAGAATATAATTTTCCTGCCGTACTTGTCTGCCATACTGCCGAGGGTAACCGCGCCCACGAATACGCCGAACATGTACGAGGATTGCGCCGCGGCACCCATCCAACGTTGCGAGCAAACGAAGTTCCACTCCATGCCGCGCGAGGATTGAAAGTGCGTCGTGTCGTAGGTCCACGAGTCGCATTCCCGGGTAACGTTTTCGCGGTCCAAATAGTGACAGCTATCGAGACGGCGTGGAAGATGTTCTAGCACGTCTGAGGAATCGTTCCAGTTGTGAACGGTGTAGTTGAACAACTCCTTGGTCAGGACGGACGACACATTCGCTTTCGGGATGTCACAGTGATGCGTCGGCACCGCCGCGACTGTCAGTAGAGACAGCATGTGTACACCGGCCGTAAGGGCGGCGAGTAAGTGAAGGCAGTACTGCCGGAACTGATATTTGCCGAATTCACCCAGGTGGGACATGAGCTCCTCGAGATCTTTGTCCACGCTCGCCATCTCGGCCGCTCGTTGAGTTCGCAGTCAGGAAATTTATCTGAGTACCTTGACGGGTATCGTGGTTATTTAAATCGTTGGTCGTCCTCGTGTTAGGCGCTGCATACGATTACGCTGAAAGGACATTTGCAGATGTAAATTATTCAGCGTACTAATCGCGAATATAAAAGATTGCGGATTTACATTTTATACATACGTATGCATGTATATACGTACATAGATAAAATTTCTCGTCAAGAATTATTACAATATCTATAAAGATAATTTATATTTGATAAATAAATAAAATAAAGCTTCTGTTATTAAATAAAATGACAATCTTGCTTAAAAATACTTAAAAAACATTAACACATAGAGAGAGAGAGAGAGAGAGAGAGAGAG